CTGATAATTACATATATATATTTAAACACACACACACACACACACACACACACACACACACACACACACACACACACACACACACACACGTACACACATCCTAGTGGTTCTTTTTGGGGAACCCTGACTAATACATCCAGAGAACTCCCAGGTCACTGTTGAACAAGGAGAGCCCAGGCAGCATGTTGGCCATGTGTTTAGGTGTGTGAGTTCTCACTTCCTTTCTTTGTTTATGATCTCACTTCCCAAATCATGCTTCTTATAATTGCTCATGCAACAGAAGAATATTTTGATCACTGTGCCATCTCAGGGGGAGACCTCGGTTTACAGTAATTTACAATGGCAGGTTTAATGAAATTCTCAGTCCCCTCTCACTTTTAGTCCTTTTTAAATTTTTGAGTTGGGGTCTCACTCTGTCAGCTAGGCTGGGATGAAATGGCATAATCATAGCTCACCACAGCCTTGAACTCCTGGGCTCAAGCGATCCTCTTGCCTCAGCCTCTCAAGTAGCTGGGACTACAGGTACACACCACCATGCCTGGTAATTTTTCTATTTTTTGGAGAGATGGGGGGGCCTTGCTTTCTTGCCCAGGCTGGTCTTGAACTCCTGGCCTCAAGTGATCCTCCTGCCTTGGTCTCTCAAATTGCTGTGATTACGGGCATGAGCCACTGCGCCTGGCTCTCTGTATTTCACTTGCTCCTAATTTACTTTATTTACCCTCAGATATCTCACCATTCATACCAAGTATATGAAATTCCCTGGAGCTTGTTTTCTTTACTCACCATATTTTTGACCTGCTGGAATGTATTTTCTCCTTCCTGGCTCTCCACATTGGAACATATTGTTGGGAAAAAATTGCACCAGTATTGAGTTACAAAACTGAAAATCTGTGGTGTCAAAACTCTGAGAGTTTTTCCATGGCTTGGCAGTTGATCTACTTATCACCTAGCTGTTTTTCATGTTTATCATATATTCTAAACCATATGTTACACAATTCTTGCCATCAAGCACAGAGTGGGTAAACAACACAACATTTATTGACTCCATGAATGAATAAATGATTGACCAAAAAAGTGAATTTTTTCATGGGGGAATAAGAATTGAAACACAAATTTAAAAATATCTCATCTATTTATATCATCATCATCTATCTATCTAATCTTGAATTCTGTTGCACACTAAGATCTTTATAGTAAACATTCTTTCTGCATAAATTTAAAAAATATTCCCCAAATAAGGAGTTTACATAACCTCTAAATATGTTCATGCTGGGCAAGGTGGCTCTCACCTGTAATCCCAGCACTTTGGGAGGTGGAAGCAAGAGGATTGCATGAGCCCACAGGTTCGAGACCAGTCTGGGAAACTTAGCGAGACTTCATCACTACAATAGATAAAAAAAATTAGCTGGGCATGGTGGCATGTGCCTGTAGTTCCAGCTACTTGGAAGGCTGAGGCGGAAGGATCACTTGAGCACAGCAGGTCAAGGTTGCTGTGCCCGTGAACGTGCCACTGCACTCCAGCCTGGGCGACAGAGTGAGACTCTGACTCAAAAAAACATAAATAAATAAATAAATAAATAAATAAGTTAATGAAGCATAAATCATGGCATCCCATGCTAACACTTTGGTAAGTAGAATCTCAACTTATGATATTAAGTTGGTCTCAGAGAGGATAATCATCAAGATTATCAGTATCTATTTCATAAATGAGGTGGGGAAAAATAACAATATAACTTGATGAAATTAAAATGAAAATGAGGCATGGAACATGCTATTCACACCAGTTAATGTTAACTGTTATATGGTATACCTATATACAATTATCTACCAGAAATCCTATCAAGTATAACCTATCAAATGGTCCAGCAAGTTTCAAGTGCTTACAATCACTCAGATTAAAATGATTATTTCTCATCAGTAGGAAATGGAGGCTAAAATATAAATAAATAAAATGAAAAGACTATTTAAAAATAAACAGCTATACAGCTGACCTAGAGGGATTTTTAGATAGGATGTTTACACTATAACTTGGGATGAGCTAGACTTCTTTAGAAATAATCCTTTGTGAAAATAGTAAAGGATCTTTGGAGTGACTAGCATTATATTAAAGAAATTAGAAATAATATAAGAGGAAAATAATATGAAGCATTTGTAACCATATTTATTAACAAAATAGCTCTGTCCTCAGGTATGTGAGTGTAATCATAGGCTTTGTGGAGATTTTGTGCAACAAGTCCAGTGCAACAAGACCTCTCTGAGATGATATCTTGCTCACAGCTCCCATCAACAATTTTATGTTATCTCAATCCTTGTTTTCCGGAAATATTCGGCAATATGTATTTAGATTACTAAAAATGTTCACATCTGTATACTCAGCTGTAGCTCTTATAGGAGTGTGAAGAATTTGTCAGATTCATGTACTTGAATATTCATCTCAGAGTAATTTATAATACTGAAAAATCACAAAAAGGCTAAATATTCCAATTTGGTGACTAGTTATATCAGGATGTGTCTGTAATTGTAATCTTTTACAATTATTAAAATGTCTAGTCGGGCTCAGTGGCTCAGCCTGTAATCCCGTGCCTTGGGAGGCTGAGGTGAGTGGATTGCCTGAGCCAGCGGATTTGAGACCCACCTGGGCAACTTGGCGAGACCTCATCTCTACAATAAATCAAAAAATTAGCCGGGCATGGTAGCGCACACCTGTAGTTCCAGCTACTTGGAAGGCTGAGACGGAAGAATCTCCGGAGCCCCAGCAGGTCGAGGCTGCGGTGGCCGGGAGTGGCCACTGCACTCTAGTCTGGGCGACAGAGTGAGACTCCAACTAAAATAAAATAAAATAAAATAAAATAAAATAATAAAATAAAATAAAATAAAATAAAATAAAATAAAATAAAATAAAATGTCTTAGAAAATTATTTAATGGGTTAGGAAACAACTATGCTTTTGACATGAAGCAAAAAAAAAACTGTATAAAGTACTATGCACATTATGACTTCAATGTCATGATTTATACATGTACGTATGTGCAATTAATTGAAAAAACAGAAAAAAAAATGCACTCAAATGTGAAAATGATGACTTTTTGAGTGGGGGAGCTAAATATGACGTTTATTTTAAAGTTTTCTATATCTTCTAACTTTCCTACAATGATAATGTATATAATTAGAAAATTCTTATGATTTAAAAAATTATGAGTAAAATAATGTGCTAGTGTTATAATAAATGAGTTAATTTTTTCTTTTTAGTTTGGAAAATTCAAATTGATGTGTTTATTCCATGTGATGCAGCCAGAACCATTTTTTTCTTTATCTTTTCAACGGCAATGTGCAAAATCTATAACCAATAGTATTCAACTATCAGTTGTATCAAAATTTCAATAAAAATATATCCATACTTATTCAATTGTCTTATTTTAAAAATAAATCAACATCTATTTAAGTAATTAAGATTAAAAATACATTATAATAAAATTATTTTATTTTAAAGTAAATATAACTGCTAGATTTTAATCAAGTAACAACAGTTTAGAGATATACATAGATGTGTAGAATATATACCTTTCAAAAACAATAAAACATACTTTATGATATATAATCTTTTCACCACAAGTATATACACTTCTCTGATATAATATCAAATTAATATGACTAGGAAGACACTAGTACTTGGAACCACAGTAAGACCTGTACGAGTAATTTAAGTTTGATATGTGATTTTAGTAGCATCATTATACAAATAAGCCATCTTCCTGGCATTGTTTTGCAGGGTGAATTTGTAAGACACTGGCTGAATTTCATGAAAGTTTCTGAAATTAGACTACTACCACTTAGAAAATCTTTGTGTAAAATATGTAGTAGCAGGGACAAATGGACCACATCTAATTGCTAATAGGGCACAAAAGCTTTCCTGCTTTTTGGAAATCGGGCAGGGCAATCTTAAACTGTGATTTTCTGTTGCTCCTTAAAGGTTTAACATCTAAATACCTTTACGTGGACATTGAAAATATTAGGACAGGAGCAGACAGAGGAGATTGCGTTTCTGCCATAAAATTTTTCAAATCAACACATTCATCTAGCTTCTGACATTCTTCTTGGAGTAGTCATCATTCTGTTTAGTGCAAAATGTGACTTTGCTTTGTCTTGCTGCAAAGGGAAAGAGAAGCTTTTGTTCAGAGCTTTAGTTGGTTCAGTTTACATAATCCGTTTTCTCCTTACATGCTAATGTTCATGTGGAGGTGAAGAGTGGTAGAGAAATGCTTTACTTGATCCTTCTTTTACAAGATGACTTCATGGACAGGTTTCGAACATGTCACTCAATCTCCAAACACAGTGCAGGCTTTTTGGTAGATGAGTTTGCATTGTCGGAGGGACGGTAGGAAAGCGTGCTCATTTTTGTAGAAAGGTTTGTATGGGATTTGGCCTTTGGAGGAATGTACTTCAGAATCTGGAGAAAATAGTTTTTAAATTTTTTCCCCAGAAAGCCATAAAAAAGAGGATTCAGGCAGTTGTTAAAATAAGCAAGGCAAATGGTGATGGGCAGGGCGGTGTCCACAATGTCTGCAATGTTACAGTCACTGATGATACCCAGATGAATGAGTACATCCAGAAAAGTGAATATTTGGTGGGGAACCCAGGAAAAGAAAAAGAAAAGCACAATTGCCATAATTATCTTAAAAATGTCATCATTTCTTGGCTTGTTTTTCTGAATTTCATACGCCTTCTTGAGAGCCTTCCAAATAAGAGTGTAACTTGTGAGAATGATCAGGAATGGAAACAAGAAACCAAGGATATTTTTGGTTAGGCCCAGCCCTATGGGAAGGGTTGAATTTTGGGATTCATAATGGAAAGCGCAAACCGTAATATTGGTGTTCTCGATGAAAAATACATTTCGGTGGATTACAGATGGCAAACTGGCCAATCCTGCCAGCAGCCAAATGATGATGCAGGTGACTTTGGCTACAAACATTGTGCGTCGAAGGCGGGACTTCATTGGGTGAACAATTGCCAGGTAGCGGTCGATGCTGAGACACGTGAGTAGAAACACGCTGGCATACAGGTTGAAACTGACGCTGGCTGAAGCGATCTTACATAGGTAATTGCCAAAGGGCCAGTGATATTCCATAGCAGTGTAGATAGCCCATAGTGGCAAAGTCAGTAAAAAGCATAAGTCAGCCAGCGCTAAATTAAAAAGAAAAACACTGGCCACAGTCTTCAGCTTCATGTAAAAATAAATGACTATCACTACCAAGCTGTTCCCGAATAGTCCTACCACGAAGATGATACTATATAAAGTAGGAATCATGATAAATATGTAATTGTGCCTTCCAGCTTTGGGACAGTCATCTTGGATTCTTTTAATCCCGTCGTCAGCAGAAAAGTTGAAAATCATTTTGTCTCTTGGGTTGAATTGGTCTTAAACACTATATCAAGTGTACCTGGAAAAAATAAAAATAAAAAGGTTAAGAAATTAACTTCCAGCTGTAAAAAAGCAAATACATATGTTTCTCAATCATAAATCCAATAACTCATGTTTAAACTTAGGAGAAAATATTAGATCATATTTTCTAAAGAAACACTGTGAACTAGTAAAGTCTAAGAATGCACATTTAATTTTTAGAACATATTGCTTTTGTAGACAGTGATATGTATTCTTCAGAGGCATGGAAGTAGGGTCCTATATGACCAATTTTATCTAGGAATTTTTCATTTTTTTCTCTGAGTAAATCCTGGCTTCCACATTGAATAAAGACATAACAAAAATCTTCAAAAACCCTACTGAATTAAATCAGTCATTCAAAAGAACTTGCAAGTTTTTCCTGAGGTAAGCAAGGCTAATTAATTTCTTATTAACCTCAGAAGTGTGACACATCCATATCTTATTCTTTAAATGATTTCTTTTATCTCACAATCTTTACTTAGGTGTAAAAATTATTAGTGTCTTCTTGTAAGTGGTTGGAGTTGTTGCTTCTAGGGGATTGAGGAATTGGTCACTGTGGGAATTGACTTAAGAGGAGTAGAAGGGAAGGCTCAAGACTTTGGGGGTTAGGATTCTTTCTGTGGTTTTCCTGGCTTCTGCAGGCAGTGAACATTTATTCTTTAATTTCCAACTCAGTCTAGCATAAGGGCCCAGATCCCCTAACTTTTGAGCCTGCCAGCTATTTCTGAAGTGAACTCTGAGGGTAACCATTTGTGTAACAGAGATGTCAGAAAGAATATATCAGGCCAAGATTATCAACAAAGTATATCTTGAGTGAAGGCTTGAGATAGTACCAGTTCTTTAGGTTTTGGGGAAGAACCAGATGTTCAGGAATGAACTGCACAAGACTTCTGCAAATATTTGCTCCTATATTCTTCATAATCAACAAGCAAGCTATTCATTTATGTGATTTAGAAAATCAACACAATTCTGTTCTGGATAAGAGCCCATGGGGAAGTCCTGGGGAGGAGGCTGAAGATGCTGTGAGAATAACATCACAGAACGTGGTACAGGCATACTCTGAGGTCAAAGGCAGTGTTGGGCCCAGGCAAGGACAGTCAGGCAGCGTAGTGGTGCTGGACACATAGATCTTATTGCTATACCAGGAACAGGTCCCCAGATGAGCATGGCTCTACATTTCCTTGTAGCTACATGCCCTGAGGAAGAAGAGGAGCAGGAATGAGACACCATTGCCCTGCCCTGTCCAGCATGGTTGCACTTGGCACCCAAGAGAGTTCTTAAGGTAGTGTCTACCTTGGTGTAAAGGGATCCTGTGTACAGGATGCAGCCCTAGCTGCTGGCATTTAAGGGATGACATGTAGGTTAAAAGGAAGTCTTTTGTGGCCTCTATGCTTCTCAGAGTAAGTCAAGTGACTCTCCTTAACCAAGTTTTTTGATACATGTACTGAATACTGTTATCTCTTGTAGCCAGTTTTATATAATCTACACACCTTCTTCTCTTGCCCATGGGCACAGTAACACTACCAACAGGTACTGTCTACCTCAAATGTCACGTCTTCTGTGAAGCCTTCCCAACTTTTCTGAGCTGCTTTGGCGCCTTGGATATAGGTTTGACACTTTGTGATAATTATCTGTTGACATATCTGTCTTCTCCACTGGTCTGTCAGCTGTTTGGGGAGAAGGGCTTGCGATAAGTCATTTTGTTTACTAATGCAGGCCCTGGTATATTCCAGGAGCCAGACGATAAATGTCTCACGAATAAGAGCATGGACAAATGAATGAATGAACAGCATGAAATTTAAATGCTAACTATAGGTATAGCATGTCAAGACTAATTTCTGTGAAATCAATTTATATCTTGTTCTTACAGAGTCTCACAGAAATACCCAGAAATACACACTGTCCACCTGGGCCTCACCTTGGACAGGAAACCAAAACCAAAACCCAAACAAAATAAACAGGCAGAAAATCCTTTGGTGCTTTAAGAAATTTGTGGCTTAGAAATCACAAGATGAAAAGAAGGAATAATTTAATAGAAACTCAGGCGAGGCTTTTAGTGAGATATGACTAGTTCTTCCTCACCCAGAGGATTTCCTTACACTTTGTTGATTTTTCAGTTTATTTTATTATAGTTACTGAATTTATGCCAATTTGGAAGTATAAATTCACTTATATAAAGAGTTATTCTTTATTAAAAATTAATTACTCATTAAAGTTTTATGGGCTAGCAGTCATTTGTGCCTTAATGTGGATTAATTTGCTATTTGCTATCCTTTTAACATCTAGTAGAGATCAGCTGGATTTTACTTAGGAAAAAAAAAGAGAAATGTCAAGGTTAAAGAACCTCAAAGGTTGAAAAGGGCCTGGGTGAACTCTATAACTGAAAATTAGGGCGGAAGTAAATATTTGGTTCGGCTTGGGCAGAAAGACAGCAAAAAATAGTAAGGATTTATTTTAAGTGCTAGAATCCCTTGGGTACCCTGAGCTGTGAAACCAAAGTGGAAATTCTCCTTTCCTCTATCTTTCCCCTCCTGGTCCTACTTTGACGGCATACAACTCATGTTGGTTCCATTAATCCTATGTGTGGAGTGAGTAGAATTTTACTGACTAGTCTAAAACTGTAACCAGCATTCATAACAAAATTTCTATAGGAAAAAGTTTGTATTTGTGAGGACCAATTTGCAAACATTGTTTTGGACTCCAACTCTTTCACAAGCAGAGGTCAGCCTCTTCTTCAGTGACCTTTGATTCTTACTAATATTTCATATGGTATATAAAATGTTGCTTTGAACAGTGAGGGGAGCACCCCTGGAAACTTTAGTGAGCTATTTATTATCTGAGTGAGAATTCACTTGAAAGGCTCTGGACACAGCACTGAACATGCTCATTAAAAGAACACCTTACATAAAAGTTTGTATAATGACCATGATTCCCTACCTAGTAAGGAAACAAATTTTCTCATGCTTCGGGATGAAGGAAAAAGGAAGAGGAATTTCAGGTGATGAAAATGACAGGAGCAAGCTCAGGAAGCAGGAATGCAAATAGCACAGTGAGCATCCATCACATATTCACTGAACACCTACTATGTGCTGATGTTAAGAATGCAAAGGAAATAAAGTCAAGGTTGTCTTTTGCACAGTTTGTGTGTAGGTGGGAGGATAAGAACCTTAAAGACAGAATATTCTTCAGTGTACTGAATGTTATACCATATTAGAATCATGTGAATATTCTGAGTTTATTACTGACCCGGCTTGGTGGGGAGTGCAGGGGGGTGGTGAGGGGAGAGAGATCAGGAGATGGCACCTGGACTTTGGAGGACGTACAAGAAACGGGGTGGTTAGAACTTAAAGACAACCAGCTGGCCAGCTGTGGTGGAGTAGAGATTGAGTCATCACTTGAACTTTCCCCTTCTTACCAACGCCTACAGCATCATCTATGGGAAAAAGCTCTTGTACTTTCAAAAATATTACACAACCCTACTGGGGGTATGGGATCTGAATGTTCATGGGGTATTTCTGGATGGGAGGTAACATAGGCCATTCCCCAGTCTGCACTGCTGCTACTCATAAACTGCCTTGGAGAATCTTGCTTCTCAGGAAAGAGGGAAAGATGGTGGGACTTATGGCTGGCAGCTGTCATTAAAAACAGCACTGATTAAAAACACAGGAAGATGACCAGGTGTGGTGACTCACACCTGTAACCCTACAATAAATAAAAAAATTAGCTGGGCATGGCAGCACATGCCTGTAGTACCAGCTACTTGAAGGGTTGAGGTAGAAGGATAGCCTGAGTCTAGCAGGATGAGGCTGCAGTAGCTGTGATTGTGCCACTGCACTCCAGTGTGGGTGACAGAGCGAGACCTCAACTAAAAAAAAAAGAAAAAAAGTGTATCATTGATAAGGATAATTTCCTTCTTTTGTCATTAAAAGGTTAACAATTTAAGGCGCTTGTTCTTTTGAAGTATGTGTAAAACATAATCTTAAGCAGCTGAATAAAGTTGCTATGAGTAAGGTGGGAACCTTCGGTCTGCTGTAAACACAAGAGTTGGTTCACTGTGGCCAAACCACCTTTGTTTACTGATTGCTTTTCTAAGAGTTACCTTATATTCCTTGGCAACTTTTCTGGTTCTTAAAGTCAGGCACAAGAAAGGATATGTTCTTTTTTTAAATTCTAAGAATATTTCCCCAAGACTTTTGATTAGAATATTAATACCTTCTTAAGCTTTTAGGCAAGCCAAAACCAATCTAATTAAATTGTTCATTACAAGCTCCTTTTTAAATGAGTTTGCAATCTAAAGGAAAAAACAATACTCCATAGTTTCCTATGATAATAAAAAGAGAACTAAAAGACCAAGTAATTGTATTTTAGAATAATCTTCTATCAAAGTAGCTTTCTTCAATATCAAAAAGAGTAGTCCATTTGCCTGTAGTGCCGGACAGTTCAATAAACCATCCTGTTCAATAAACCATTCTCTTTATTGCTCCCCTTTTGTAATTCAGACTTCAGAAAGCAACTGTTTTTGCTTCTATGTTGCTGTGCCCAACCCCCAACTCCCAGTTATGCTAGAACTATTAGTGTTCGTTTGGGAATGCATTGACTCATAGAAGTTGGCACTAAAATTTTTAGGGTTTCTATTTGTTTCTTTCTCAAATCCACTTGTTCTTATTTCCTAATCTTCTGCTCCTATTTTATGAAGTCTATTTCTTCTTTTATCTCCTTTAACATTTTGAATATCTGTATGCTAAGCCGCTACCCAATTGCTTTACTATTTGTAGCTCCTCAGATATAAATTCTATTTGTCGCATCTGTGGACACTCTTTGGCCCTTGCCTACCTCTTAGATTTTGTCATCGTTGACTGTGAGATCATCTTTGGTGGGAATTAACTTCCATATGAGGCTTGAGTATCTGGGTTGTAGCAGGCTGTGAAACTTCTACTTGAGTATACAACACACTTGATCTGGAAGAGTTTTAAATGCTGATTTCTGAGCTTAGTTTTCATCTATCTGTATCTATCTATCTATCTGTCTATCTACCTATCTATAGCAATCTCAGATACTATATATAGATCAGGCCTTCCACCTACTCTCAAACTTTGGTTTGCAGAAGTTTTCTAGTCTTTGGTCAGGAATAGGCAGTGATTTTTCAGTTCCTGGCTTTAATCAGGAAACACAATTTCCATTGCCTTCAGTACATTAGTCTAGTGGCCCTTACTTCCATAGTCACTAGAACTTTACCTCAGTATCTTCTCTGGCTCATGTGGTCTGAACTTTCTTTTTTTTTTTTTTCTGAGTTGGAGTCTCACTCTGTTGCCCAGACTGGAGTGCAGTGGCTGCTTCCGGCCACCGCAGCCTCGACTGCTGGACTCTGGCGATCCTTCTGCCTCAGCCTTCCAAGTAGCCGGAATTACAGGCATGCGCTACCATGCCGAGCTGATTTTTTGATTTATTGTAGAGATGAGGCCTCGCTGCCCAGGCGGGTCTCGAACCCGCGGGCTCAGGCAATCCACTCACCTCAGCCTCCCAAAGGCGCGGGATTACAGGCTGAGCCACCGAGCCCGGCTTGTACTTTTATTCAGAGCTATGACCTGGTATTTTGTGTTTAGGGAATAATTATGCCTGCTTAGTCCACTGTCTTCATCTTGACTGAAGTTAACTTACATTTTATTTGGAGATAATAGTTAAGTTGTTTGAACCAATAAGTTTTGGGTTATAGTCAAAGTCTTTGAAGAAGGATCTGAGCCTTTCCAGGCTGCACTTGCCTCCACACTGGTAAACCTGGCACCCATGAAGTGAAGAGCATGGCAGAGAACCTGGCACTACAGAGTAAGTGACTAGAATCACTTTCACATCAGATGCACAGGAGAACACCATGCTCTTGGTGGTAATCCTAGCCTTAAAAGCTTTCCTTGGGGATGATTTTGTACCCTCCCCTTGCAATTTCTGGGTGAATATTTCTCTAAACACAAAACATATTTTATTAAGATTATTAATGTCATACTAATTAAGTACTTGAGATCCAATCTCCTCAAATATAATAAATGGCTCTGTGATCTGTCTAAATGGTAAACAGTGCTTTCTGGCTTTCTTCCCAAGTCAATATCACCCATTGCAGTCTAACCTTACAAGAAATAAAAACAGGGCAAGCTGCTTTCCTAATTCTGCACGTATCTATTGTAATCAACTGTGATGATGGTAGTTAAGTGTTCCATCATTTCCAACTAGTCCTCCCCTTTGCTTCACCCAAAATAACCCAAGAACCCAAAGAACACAGCTTTATGAAAGGAAATTCAGAAGTTCAAGTTAGGATATAAATTTCAATGAAAGTAAAATGTTAATTCCACATTTTAACTTCTTGGGAACTATTCAAGACTACTGTCTAATAATGGAACTCTAAACTGCCATTAAGCTTCCCTCCACTCCAGAAATTCCCATTTATTATAAATTATAGTTTAAATAACTCAGTTGTGATGAGTATCCCAAGGCAGTTCCCTTCTCCATCACTATCCTGAACTCTTGAGTGTTTTTGTTGTATTTCAAAAAGAAAAGAGAAACAGGTAGGGATGGAAGATATGTGATCAAGTCTAATTCACATGCTTTACAAATCTTTTTTTGACATGTTAGTATTAGCAGAAAATATTCTTATTATGTTGAATTGAAGGGCCATGGAAGGCTTTTTAGGGAGCCAGAAGAGAAGAAACTCTAGAGACTAGGAGAAAAGGGAAATAAAATCTAACTTGGAAGAAAGCCTGCAAATAAATGAACCCCTGTCCTCTTCGACTCCCCCCAGTTCTTCCAACTTGTGGACTTACAGAATTTCCCAACTAGAATTATCACCACCTTTCAATGGATTGGCATCTCAGCCATCATGGGGGAGGAGACATCATTTTTAATAATATGGCTCTTGGAGATTGCACATAAGCTTTTCTTTTCAGCAGATGAAAAAGGCAGTGCCAATGTGGTCTCCTCAGTGAATAGCAGTTGCATCATCAAACTTGTGAATAAAACCCCACGTTTTGTGTGTGAAACCACTTCACTTTTATTTCTTTGAAACTTTAATTCAGCAGCAGAAACTGTTCCTCTCATTTCAAATTCCACTTTAAGGGGTATAAGGAAAGTTATTGGGTAGTAAAAGAAGCACTAATTAATTTGCACCCTTAAGACATTATGATAATATTATATAATTTATATGTATTATGAGTTTTGTGTTAGAGATTATGGGTCCCATGACAATTCCTTTCAGATTAAAGCTTTTAACATAATTCAAACCACATAACCATACATTTTAAATGAAGCTAGAAAGAGTAAATATTCAGTATACTGTATATATTTCTCTGAATTGCCCAACATTCTGATTGCTGTAGAAATACAATGTATTCTTTGAATGAAACTCTGCAAATTGGTCCTGGGAAATGGGGAAGGGAACTGAGGTTGTTGGCTTTCCTAATCACTAACTGGGTGACCTTGAACAAATCACTTACTGCTCTAGTCCTCTGTGTCTTCAGGGAGTTGGTTACACACTTCAAACAAACAAACAAACAAAAAAACAAAAACAAAAAAACCCCACCACCACCAACAAAACCCCTCTGAAGTGCTGAATTTTATAATCTTTCTTTTGATTAGGGTATGCATCTTTTGAAGACAAGGGCCATATGACATAACAAGTAGAAATGACCTATGACATATCAATAAATCAGCTATCTATATTTATCTTTATTGGTATTTTAATCCCACACTAACTTAATAATGTATATTAAACATAAGAACTCTTTGTATTAAAAACAAAATGAAAAGAATTTTACTTTTTACTCAAGAGGAAAAAAGAAACTCCACATAAGATTATTATAGTCCCAGGTTTTTTTTCTTTTTCTTTCTTTTAAGAAATCAACTATCACTCAAAGATAGTTTCCTTAGCACAACATTTGGATAGGTGGTTGTGGCCTTTGGCTAATGAAGTCAATGTTATGGGCTTGGGCTCTATCTAGATTAGCTTGTTTCATTCCATTTATGGCCAAAGGTTGTGAGCCTCTCAGATGTCTTCTGTGTTATTAACTGGCATTACCAGGTGAAAGAGTACAGACAGATAGATCAGTCCATGGTTAAAATCAAAATTAAAAGCATTCCCTGAAGTTCTATGAAAAGGGGATGGGCACAATGTGATTTTGTTAAAATAATTCATACAAAATGAATCTGTGTTCTCAGGTTCTGTGTGGGATAATATAACTTTTTGAAGTTCAGCAATCAGTTAATATGGTTCAGGTAAGGGCAGAGTATTATAAAAGAGCATCATAGTATGGCATCATTTAGTATTGAAGGATTATATTATTAGTTGACATTCTGAAGAGTTACAGGGACTCTGTCCTAAAAAAATGAATGGTATAAGAGTAATGTTTATTTGATTTGGTCTTATTGTTCATTTTTCAAACACTTTTGTATGCATTTTTTTTTACTTTTTAATTTTCTTGACATTAAAATACTGTAAAAATTGAGGGACAGCAGAACATTCTACTGGACTGGAATCCTGGCAAGTGTTCTGCTCTACCAGTAACCAGTGACACGAGCTTACACAGGCAATGTAATCTCATACTTTGTTTCCCTTTAAATATTACAAAATATTTAGAATGAGGATACCTACACCTGTTCTCACCTCTATTTCATAGATTATTAAAGGTAAAAAGTGAGGTCTCTGAAAGACATAAAAGTATTTTGAAAATTTGATCATTCTGTAATGCAAGCATAAGTGAAATGAATTTAATGAAAGAAAGCTCAGGCCTTTACAAGACTATTGGACTTTTTAAATTCAGAAACTCAGCAGAAATATTTTTCTTACTTACAATCTAATGCTTGTATTTTAAGAATTATAACAAGGCACTTGATTAATGCTGAAAGAGAAGTAAAATGGCAGATACTGGATAGTTTTTACATTTAATATGTGTGGCAAGAAATGTCTGGGAACAAACTAGACCCTTAGGCCAACTCTGACCAATAGGTATATTTTCTTTGGCTCCCAGAGTATTTACAGCTTTTGGGACTTGAGTTCTCTATAGTTCAGTAATCCCTACCATTCTCTATTTTCTGATTCTTTAGGTCAGTACTGTCCAAAAGAAATATAATGTGAGTCACATATGTAATTACAAATTTTCTAGTAAAAACATTGAAAAAATAAAAAGAAACAGGTGAAGTAAAATTTGAGAATATACTTTATTTAATCCAATATAGCCTAACTATTGTCATCTCATCATGTAATAACTATAAAATTATTGAAATCTTTTACATTTTTTTTGTACTGTGTCTTCAAAATCCACAGTCCAATGTATGCTTCTAGGACTTCTCAGTTGAGACTAGCCACGTTTCCAGTGCTCATCACCATCCGGTACTGGCCATCACATTGAACAGCACAGTGAAGATGCTTCACTCACTCAAGTCCCCTACTTGGCCCCTTTAGCAATGGTTCTGAAAGTGTGGTCCCTGGAACAGCAGCATCAGCATCACCCGGGAATTTGTTAGGAGTGCAGATCTCAAGCCCCACCACAGACCTACTGAATCAGAAACTCGGTGGGTGGGGTCCAGCAAGCTGTGTTTAATGAGCCCTCCAGGTAATTCTGATGCACATTAATTTTTGAAAAACACTGCCCTGTAGACAAATTAACTTGCAACTCTGGCTTAAATGCTGATAATCATAATTAACAGGCAAAACTGAATCCAGCAACCAAAGTGCCCTCTGCTACAATGTTTTCATTTGGCCTTTATGAGGCACCAACACCTGAAGGATGAGAAAACTTATTTATTAAATTGTGTATTTCTTTTACAGTGTGTGAAAGTTAAGGTGTGTCCAGAAGGATGCCGTTTAGTAGAATATCCCTTGCGCCTGCTTCTAGATATCAGAAATTCCTATAATTTCTCCATGCCATCATTAGAACTAAGATCTACGTGGGGAGCGGACACAACGACTCAGGAGAGAGCCAGGGTTAAGACAGAGGGAAGAGCGCAGTGATGGGAACCAAAAGATCCGAATCAAGTACAAGATTCCACCTCTTATGAGCTGTGGAATCTTTAACTTTTCACTTAACCTGCAACTCATTTTTTTTTCATCTGGAAAATGATAATGTTCATGATGATAATGATGACGTAGTAAGTATCTGTCCAATATGGCTCATGACATTGCTGGGAACGTCACATGAGACTATGTGGAGATGCTATAAGAGCCTAGAGCTTTGAGACTTTTGATGGTGTTATTAAATTCATGCTGTGGTGTAAATCAGGGGACCCCAATCCCCGGGCCTGTTAGAAACCGGGCTGTGGGTGAGCTGGAGCTCCATCTGCTGTCAGATCAGCAGTGGCATTAGATTCTCCTAGGATCCCAAATCCTGCTGTGAACTACACATGGGAGGGATCCAGGTTGTGCGCTCCTTATGAGAATCTAATGCCTGATAACCAGCTCTCTGTCCCGGTTGTGGAAAAATTGTCTGCCATGAAACCAATCCCTGGTGTCAAAAAGTCTGGGGATCACTGGTGTAAATGATTATTGCTTTCTCCTGCAAGTGAATTTGGATAAGAGAGGATAGAAAACTGCACATGGTGCTAGAAGTGGAAGAAACTCAAGTACCAGTAAGGGGTGGAAAGTTTCAAAGACGAAATACTGAAAGATGTTGCTGAAAGTCTGCTTGCGCTAGACAGTTTTGCCAGCTCTGGTCATTCTTCTTGAATATTACATCATCTTAAAACCTAAATAACAACGATACTACACCACTGTTTGTAATAAACAATATAGACCACTCTATCTACTATTATTTACCACTCTACTCCTCTTCTATGTTGGGCTACTTGTGCTTTATAATTAAATAGCCTATGATAACAGGCATGGATGCTGGGCCAATAAAAGGTAAACAACACTTTGCCAACTGAAAAATAAGATGAGATACCAGTGACCGCTGTTTCCTGTGAAAACTTCATTAGCAATAAATGAGTTACCAGATGTCACCCATCAGATTTGAAATTAAAATATATTCCCAGTATTTGTGTGCAATTTGAGCAGGAGTTCAAAACAAACTCTTTCCAAGAGAGTTGCATAAGATCAAATGCCATTTTTGCCTTCTGATTATTTGTTCCTCCCCTAAATGTAAAATAAAATGTATCTCTTGGGTTGTAAAGGGGAAAGATAGCAGTTTTGCGGAGAAGGCTACATGGGGAATCGGTATATTACTCAGACAGCAGCAACTCTTTAAGGACATAATTTTTTTTTAACGTCCTGTGCCATACCAAGACCACCGTCTATCTCCTCTTGTTTTTAACTTTGCCATAACAACTTCTCCTTTTCTCACCTTTGCCTTTGGCAAGCTATTTCTGCTTTTATTACCAGCAACAAAACTGTTCCAGTCAGCAACTGTCAACATCGACTTTACTCTTACTGAGCTCTACTATAACAACAGCCCTGTTAGTGACTTTCTTTCTTCATGAGATTTAAAACCCTCCTCTTGTTCTTGCAATTAGCTAAGATGACTCGGTTCTTGTCCTCAAAGTTACACAAGCCTCCAATCTGAAAGCAATTGTGGTTAGGAACCCACAGTAAGAACTAGAAGAGCAGAATTTCGCTTGAGCCAGCAGAAATTTCAAATGATAAGTCAGTGTGATAGAAATATCTAACACTCTCTAGTTTTTATAAACAAATATTTTTGGCTGAACTTTTTCGGCCCAGTTTCTTTGCAATTTCAAAATTTTTGTAGTTACTGGGTTCCAGCTGAAGACCATGGCTGTAAGAAATCATTTGTCTATTTTTTTCCTCTGCAATTAATTTTGGTTCTTATCTCCGTGAAGATAGGTGAAGCCTATAAATCAAATTAAGGGGTGAGGGAGTGACTATTCCTTCTCAAGCCTCCTTTGGAGAAATATTTACATAGAACTTCTCTATACAAAGAAATCTCCCAAAGCACTTAAAAGTTTATTTCCAGATCATTAACTATTCATCAGATGCTGGGGGTGTGGAAACTACTGGCCTTTGACCTTCACCTAAAGGAAGACAGCATTTTTGAGATGATTGGCTATGTCAGCGGGGACACTGTCTTTTCAATCTTTTCAGCTAAATAGCTTCAGCACAAAGTAATATACAAGTATCTAATTATGCTTATTTAATGTGCAATTATTTTATTCTCTGTTTCTGCTAATAGAAAGGATCTATGAGTGGCTTAATGTTAACAATAACATTTATCATTTATGATTAATTGAATGCTTACCATGTCCCCAGTATTGTGGTAATTGCTTTTATCTCTACAAGAGACCTATGAGGGAAGGCATCGGTATTCCCATTTTCCAGATGAGGAAAGAGGTTTAGAGATCAGGTTCTTACACTTTTTACTTTCTATAAGTAATGTTTCCAGGCATTATTATTTATTGTTATTATTATTTGGTAAGGTCATCTCTTCATATTCCAGTCCAGTACTTCTCAGTGAGGGTGATTTTGCCCTCCAGGGACATTTGGAAATGTCTGGAGACATTTTTGCTTTCGCAACAGAGGGAGGGGGAGGGTAGCTTTACTTAGCATCTAGCAGGTAGAGACCAGTGATACTGCTAATCATCTTAAAATGCACAAACATGCCCCCATAACAAGTAATTACCTAGTCCCAAATGTCAATAGTGTTGCTATTGAAAAACACTGCTGTGGCCCCTACTTGTAAAAAACATCTTTGATAATGTATAGCTCTCACCTCTTATGGAATAAGTTAACTATATGCTACATTTTATTGGTGTCATTTGTTTCATGCATTACATCTTCCTCCCCAAAACTGTAGATTCCTCACAAAAGATACAATTCTGTTGAGTAACCCCTCAAAAGTCTAAGGTTGTGTTGGGCTTAGTTAAAGCTCTGAACTAAGACTGGGAGTTAACTAAAGTATCTGCTGTATTAGATCATTCTAGAAATTACCCTCTAAGCATTTTTTTATAACTCCAGAATTCTGCACAAATACATTGGAAGAGGAAATTGAGCTTAGACTCATTATAAGGGCTTCAAGGGATTGATGGCTGTTTGGTAGCCCCAATGTCCCCACTGGAGAGGAAGCCACCTAGTCTGAAAGTCAAACTCTGCCCTCTTGTGGCATCACAGAGGCTGCAGGGAATCTGGCTGGGGGACAGAGGGCTGGGGGTCATATCCTTAGGGTGTGAATTGACTTTGCAATATTTGAGTGTAAATTCAGCTTTGCATTCAAATTAGGTTTTTTCTTCTTTGTGCAATAGTACATTAAATGTAACATATCATCAAAGCTTTCATTAGAATTGAACCAAGTAGAAAAGTGAGAGAGAGGATAAACATACCTAATTACAAATGATACTTTCTAGAAGTTTGGAAGTCACAGAGTTTCAACACTTAGCTTGATTCTCTATTACTCGATTCTTCCACACAACTGCTTTTCTGACCCATAGGGCATAGGATAGTTGTTTTTGTAGCCAAGGAAGACTATTTCTGGGAAAAAAATAAACTTTCTAAGGAGCAATATTAATATACTTTTAGGACTTAAATTCTATAGTCACAATTTCAATCATTTATTGGTGCTTGTGGTATTTTCCCTATGAACTCCTTATAGACTACTTCAAGGAGTAAAGCACCATGGCGTTTGAAAGACCAGCTAAATCGGAGGAAATTATACTTCCCCTTTTCCATTAAGAACTCTATTCTCTTACTACGAAAATGCCACTGTTCTTTCTTATCAGAGAGTGCAGGCTTTTCTGTATACTGATGCCAAATGGGTAACATTTTAGTGAGGCATTTGAAGTCATGATAGGCAACTCGGTGGTAGACAAACAAGGTCATTTAAAAGGTCTCATCACTGAGAACATCAGAGCTTTCAAAAGATGCATGCAGCCTTTCCTGGATGATCTGGGTAAAACAGAGAAGAAAAGGCCCATACAGGACAAATTTTTTTTTTTTTAAAAAGCAATCAGATGGAAACACTCAGAATTAAGAGTGAAAAGATATGGTGAGTGGTGATGCTGAATCTTAATGTATAAAACCAAAAGCAATGAGTAAAAGAGCATATAGTTTAAGAAGTGAGCAGAAATCAGTTGACTGTAGGATTTAACAGGAGGAAAAAAAGAACAAA